AGGGCTCCGGGGGCTGGGGAGGGTCAGGGGTGGGGGGGCCGTGGCTGTACGGGGTGCTGTGCATGGGGGAAGGCTCTATCACAGCCTAAGGCTGTGGTTTCACTGCCAGGAATGGGTGCAGGGAGGTCCATCCGGGCCCAACGCTTGCCCCGTGCCAGCCATGCCCACGCTCCAATGTCCAGGAGCACCTGCTTGGGATCCCCCGAGGAACGCGGTGCTGGCCCAGGGGGAAGGGAAGATCCCGGCGCCAACCATGTCTCCAGGAAGGGAGGCCCCTTCCCCCAGGGGTGTCTGTGCAGCCGGCGGAGGGGAGGCTCAAAGGAAAAGTCGAGAGAGAAGCAGGTTCTGGGCCCGGTGTCAGGAGAGCTCAGCTGGAGGCAGGTCCGGGAGCTAAATCACATTGTCAAAGAGCTGCATGGACCGCATGATGTTCTCATCCTGCGGGGAGGAGGTGGAAAGCAGGCAGTTTGGGCACAGAGCAGCAATCTGGGCAGTTCCCCCCAAACCTGGCTTTACCCTCATGGCAGCTCTGACCCATGCGACCAGAGCTCCAGGGATTACAGGCAGTTTCCAAGCTCTACTGGGATGCATGGCTCTCCTCATCCACACAGGGATGCCGGCACAGATATGGCTCTCAAAGCAGAGCCCCAGCATTGCCCCTTGGAGCCCTGCCTCTACCCCTTCTCTGCCAGGAGGGTGGTGGGGGGACGGAGGTCCCCAAGAGACAGGGAGGTGACCCAGCCCCCGAGCAGAGCTGCTAGTGGCTTTACCTTCTGGCAGGACTCCAGGAACTCCTCGATTGTCACCACGCCATCCTTATTTCGGTCCATTTTCTGCAGACAAGCACAGCATGGGGGGCATGGCAGGGACAGCCCCAGCCCCAGGGAGAGCCCAGCATGCCCTGCCCAGGTCCCCCAGGGGCTGGACACAGTGCATCCCTGTCCCAGCCATCTCCAGGCACCCAGCAGGACCAGGATGGCCTTTTCTCTCCCTGGCTCCAGCACAGCCCTGCTTCATCCCCACTGTGGGGTGTTTTCCCCTGCACCATGCCAGGTTTTTGGCAGCCACTCGCTTTGTGCTGGAGCTCTGCTTCCTGAGGACATGCTCAGCTCACCTGGAAGAAGTTCTCCACGTGCTCCCGGGGTGCTTCCTCCCGCATGGCTGGGTAGGTGTATTTGCCCATCATGTCGTAGATGGACTTCATGATGTCCAGCATTTCCTGGAGGGAAGGGGGTTGCAGGGTCAACACAGGGCTCTGTCTCTGTCTGGTCCCCAACCCGCACCCTTTTGGTGATGCTTCTGAAGGACCTGTGGAGCACTCAGGCATGTTCCTGCCAGCTCTGTGCATGGTGTGGGGCTGTGTGTGTGCCCGCATGTGTGATGGAGCCCCAAAGCAGCACACCCCTTATCCCCCCTCCGCCCCAGAGACACACCAGTGCCAGGGGAGCAGGAGGGACCTGTTTTCAGACCTGAGCTCAGTAAATACTGACACCCGCCAGCTCCTCCAGAGCTCAGGCAAATGCCCCTGAGAGCCCTACCCTCGTCCCGGCATGGCATAGACCTGCATTGGCCCCAGGGACCAGCCCAGACCTCCCCATCCCACCTCTTTGGTGATACAGCCATCTTTGTTCAGGTCATAGAGGTTGAAGGCCCAGTTCAGGCGGTCATCAATGGTGCCCCGCAGGATGATGGACAGCCCAGACACAAAGTCCTGCAAGGATGGACAAGGCAGGCAGATGGGAGTTACGGCCATAAAGGGTCTCACGGACACAGAAGGCACAGCCCTGCTTGTCCCTCCCGCAGAGGGGGAGCTCAGCCCCAAAGCAGATGTGCTCTTGGGCTGGGCTGAGAGGGGAAATGTTGAGTGTCAACAAGAGCCTGGGTAAAACCGATTGCTTGTCCCCGAACATGTCCCACAATAATCCCTTGGGCCACAACACCCAAGAGGACAACATGCACCGGGACCTGCTGTTCAGCCAAAGCCTGGATAAAATGCAGCCACGGCTCTGCCTGCCAGTTTGGGTACCTACTAGACACATCCCAGCATCATTTCCAAGCCAGAAACTATAGAAAACTCCTTTTTTTGATTGCTTTTTAATGTTTTTCTGTTGCCTTTGGGAATTTAATAAACTCCATCAGCCTCTGTGAAGTTCCCCACCCGTCTGCGACAGCCGTCAACACCGCTCAGCCCAGCCTGCGCTACCCGAAGGGACGTGCCCTCCCTGCCCCACCGCCATCCCTTCCTTGGCCACAGCTCACCTCGAAGCTGACGGAGCCGTCGTGGTCGGTGTCGAAGGCGTTGAAGAGGAAGGTGGCGTACGTGCTGGAGTCTAGGGGGAGGTGGACAGTGTGAGGGGGTGCTGTGTGACTCCCCGCCCCACGGACGCACCCCTGCGGGGCACGGGGATGGGGACAGGCACTCACCTCCCTGCGGGAAGAACTGTGAATAGATCTGCTTGAAGTTTTCTTCGTTGACAATGCCGCTCGGGCACTCCTGCCAGGGCAAGCCGCAGCGTCACCTCCACATTGCAGAGAGAGGCTGAGCCTTGTAAAACCCTAAAACCTTGCAGCTCCCCTGCCTCGTGCCTCGGCCCTGCGCTGCCTGGCAGGGGTGGCTGGTGAGGCTGCTTGGCTCCCCACCGACCTCCCTGGAGCCACTGGGATCACACCCGGAGGAAGGTGCATCCCCTGCTCCTGCCATCCGAAGCCGTTCAGAGCCATGCAGACAGTGATGGCTCCGTCTCGGTGCCCAGCAATCGCAGGCAGCATCACTGGCTGCAGGAGATCGCACAAACAGGACGGTCGGGTACCAGAGCTGGCGCCTGGTGGGGATGAAGGCTGTGGGAGGGAGACAGGCCCCTTCCAGTGCCACAAACCCCAGGTGAACCTGAGTACCTCCACAGAACCTGAGGCATGGACAAGCATTTGCTGCCTTTGGAGTTGGACTTTTTATCACCCAAGGGCGAGTCTGCTAATTTGGGTCCTATAGCCCCTGACAGGTTCAGGTCCCTGCAATCTGCTGGAAACAAAGCCAAGGCAGGGTTGAAAGCAGTAGCCAGCTTAAAGTGCCTTTGGCCTGATAGTTCAGCCCCAAGGTTCTGAAAGATTTGCAAACCCTGAGCACCACGGGGTGCAAAGGACCCTCCAAGGTGGACATGGCAGTGGAGGGGGGGCTAGCAAAGCTGGTTGAGGGGTACTCACGTTCTTGAAGCCTCGGTACAGGACCTGCAGCTCTTTGCGGGTGAACTTGGTCTGCTCCTGGAGCTGCTCCAGCCCCTCAGGGCGGTGGCAGACGGTGGAGAGCTCAAACTCATCCTCAACGCTGTCTGCAAGGAACCCCGGGGAAGAGAGGGCGGCTGAGGCCAGCACCCTCCTGCCTGCCCTGCCAGGCCGGGCCGGGGGGCAGGAGAGGCACCTTGCACAGCGCACCCCATCATCTCACAGCTGCCCAGGGTGACACATTTTTGGGGTGTCCTGCTTAGCAGGCGTTGGGTCTATGCCAGCAGGGGACACTCAGAGACACCCTGGGAGCAGACCAACAGCTGACATTGGGCGACAGCACCCCCCAGCCTCTGGTACAGACCAGGCTGGGCAGAAAGTGAGTGTGAAACCCTCCCAAGTGCTGAGACCCCCCCCTCCCTGCCCTTCTTCTCCCCCCAGCACAGGCATCTGCCATGCAGAGCTGAGTCCCTGGACATCCCGCAGGTCTGTGCTGCACCAGAGCTCATGTCCAGCAGGAGAAGCCCTCTGCAAACAAGAGGGGCTGTGGCCCCACAGCAAGTACCCCCCATCTGTGGGGCAGATCAGCCCCTGCCCCTCCATACTCACCTCTTCTCCCAGAGGGGATCAGCTCACACCACAGGGCAGGGGGAGACCCCAGCCAGGGGCTCAGACTCACCAAGGGGCCAAGCGCACCCAGTGCAGGGGGGGTAGGGGGCTCTGGGCAGCTCTGTGCTCACTCCCTGCTCAGCCCCTTTCACCCCCCCATCACAGCTCCATCTCCAAACCAACATTAAGTTTCAATCAACAACCCCCCAGCCCTTCAACGAGCACCAGGAGGGTCTCACCACCCTGAGCCAGCTCCAAAGCGGGTCTCACCACCATGCATCCTGTGGGAGCCGCTCCGAGGAGCCGGAGAGG